GTGGCCCCGATGTTAGGTGGCCCCAGGACGACCCCATGAGCCCAAGACAAATTCGAGATTGCCCCTATATGATCCCTTTTTAAACCCTAGTTGACGACCCCACGATTGTGTCAATATGGTTCGAATGTGACTGCGATGAATTCTTTTCTTCTGCCCTTGCTCTTGGCTTGGGCCGATCGGACGGATCGGGGTGCTGTACCTCCGTCCCTTCGTCGTCGTTTTCTTCCTCCTCCCCCTCGTCCTCGTCGCCCTCGTTGTCGTCGTCGTCGTCGTCGCTGTCCGCCTGGTCCCGTTGGCCCCATACGTAGCAGAAAACCGAATCCCGAACACAAGCCGAATCCGTCCATTCTCTGATATTGTGCAATTTGCGGGCCATTCATTTTTTGGCCCGCCGATGTGCGGGCCATGTTTGGTTGGCCCGCAAATGTGCGGGCCATTTTTGGTTGGCCCGCACTTTTTCGCAGACCCAATCCCTACCCACTCCAGTGGAAGGCGGCCCGCGCTCCCGCCTGCCTGGTTCTGTCACTTTGCGCCCGACATCTCCGCGAGACGAGAAGATTTGCGGGCCATGTTGTTTCGGCCAGCAGTGTCCCAGAGCCGTATCCAAGGAGATTCGGATGAGGATAATAGCGGGCAATTTTTTGGGGCCCGCAGTGTCTCGGAGCCCATTTCAAGGAGATTCGGATGAGGGGATTTGCGGGCCATTTCTTTTGGCCCGCAGTTTCGGCGAGCCGAAGAGATTTGCGGGCCGTTTTGTACCCCAATCCAAAATTTCGCGCGAGGAGATTGGCGGGCCATTTTTTGGAGGCCCGCAGACTCTGGAACCCAATCCAAGCCCTTTCTGGAGAGGAGATTTGCGGGCCATTTTTTGGGGGGGGCCACAGACTTGGGAGCCCAATCCAAGCTCTTTTCTGGTGAGGAGATTTGCGTGCCATTTTTTTGAGGCCCACAGACTCTGGGAGCCAAATCCAAGCCCTTTTCGGGTGAGGAGATTTGCGGGCCATTTGTTTTGGCCCGCAGTTCCCGCGAGCCCAACAATAGCCTTTTCTTTTTTCCTTGGAGGGAAAGGGGATTAGCAGGCAATTGTTCGGGGCCCGCAAGTGGCGCGAGCGGAGGAGATTTGCGGGCCATTGTGCTTTGGCGCGCAGTTTCTGCGAGCCCAATCCAAGGCGACTCGGGACATAAAGTTTGCGTGCAACTTTTTGGGGGCCCGTCTGCGAGCCCCATCACAGCCGTTTTTTTTCTTGTTGGAGGGCGGGGAATTGCGGGCCATGTCTGATTATCTGCAACTGGCGCCCCCCGCCCTTCACGGACGAACCAAATTTGGGGCCCCCGCGCAAACCTCGGCAAAGCCAGCCAGCGCACGGCGCCTGTGGAGGCAGGCGGACCGCGGGGGGACAACATATGCACGACGCATCAACACATGTTTTTGGAATGTGCCGGCCTCGCCAGGCAAGGGCTTCCATTGGAAAGCCTCAAAATCGGAACCCGCTGGAAAACGCAGCGAAAGGATTCCATTTGAAAGCAGGAGTTCCATTGGAAAGCCTCTCAACAGGATCCCTTTGAAAAACACCGCAGAGGGATTCAATCGGAAAGCCTCGCAATCGGAATCCTCTGGAAAGCACCGCAGAGGGATTCGAATGGAAAGCCTCACAATTGGAATATTGTTGGAAAGCACCACAAAAGGATTGCATTGTAAAACCGCACAATAGGATCCCTTTGGATAGCACTACAAAGGAGTTGCATTGGAAAGCTTCTCAACAGGCAACCGGAATCCTTTGGGAGACACCACAGAAGGATTCGATTGGAAAGCCTCACAATCGGAAACCGTTGGAAAGCACCACAGTGGAGTTTCATTGGAAAGCCTCACAAGCGGAGCATTCTGGAAAGCACCACGAAGGGATTCGAGCGTAAAGCCTCTCAACCGGATTCTTTTGGAAAGCACCGCAGAAGGATTCTGGTGGAAAAGGCTCGCAATCGGAGTCAATTTGAAAGCACCGCAAGGGGATTCTATGGGAAGCCCTCACAATCTGAACCCTTTGGAAACACACCCCAAAAGGGATTCGATCGAAAGGACTCACAAAAGAAACTCTTTGGAAAACGCCGGGTTCCAGTCTTGAGTCTTTTGGGGCGCTTTCAGGCAGTCCTTCTTGGAAGTCTCCGGGGCCGTCTTGGGGCCGTCTTGGGGCCTTTTGGGCTGTCGCGGGGGCCTCTCGGGCCGTCTTGCGCGCCCTCGGGGGCCCGCGGGGGCCCGAAAAGTCGAGAACGGTAGCGCCGCGGGAAAAATGACATCCGATTCTGGGTGGATGGAGCCTTTTTGAATTTATCTCGGGGCTCTCCTTGGAGGGCCCTTGGCCTTCGGGGCCGCCCCGGGCCTTCCCTGCGCAATCGTGAAAACGAATCCCTTTTTTGGGAGCTGGAAGCCATTTTGGGGGCGTCTAGGGCCGCGCGGGGGGCATCTCTGGGTTTTCTCGGGCCGTCGCGGGGCCCTCTCGGGCCGTCTCGCGGGACTCTTGGCGGCGCCTTGGGCCGCCGGGCCGGTCTTGGGGCGTCGGGCGCCCGAAGCGGCGAAGAGGGTCGAAAATCCGCGGGCCCTTCGGCGCGCGCGAGACGCCGTCGTCGCCCGCGGCGTCGCCGTCGCCCGCCCCGAGGAAATCTAGGAACGAACGGAGAAAACAAATTTCGCAGTTACATCGATTTCTTCACGTTTACTCCTCCCTGGCGGGGGGGTCGGAAGGGGCACGGGGGGCCGCGGGCGGGGGGGCGCGGGGGGGAGGGGGGGGGGGGCGGGCCAGATCGCCGCCCCGCCCGGGGGGGCCTCTCCGCGGACGAAAAGCACGGGGGGGGGCGGGGGGGGCGGACCGCGCGGGGGGGGGCCCGGGAAGGGGGTCCCGGGGGACGCCCAGACGGCCCCCGGGGGGCGCGCCAACGGAGGCCCCCGGGGACGTCCTGCCTTCATGGTTGGCGGCGCAGGCCGCAAGGCCTTCGCAATCGTTGAAACGCCTAGAAAGATAATATTTGACTCTGGCTTCCTGGTTGATGGCGCCCAAGAAGCCTTTTGGGCCGTCAGGGGGGCATATTGGGCAGTCTCGGGGCCATCATGGATCGCCGGAAACCGCCAAAGCACATCGTGGACGTCTGTCTTCTGCTCTTCTGCCGTTCCCCCGCCCGCGTCCGGGGCCAGATTTCGAAGGCCCCCCCCCTGGTCCCCCCTGCGGGGGCGCGCGCCAGCAACCCCTCCACGAGGGCGGGGGGGAAAGCGCGGCCACCCCAAAAGACGCAATCCTGGCGACGCCCACGTAGGTGAGCACATGGCCGGCGAAACGGCGGCGGCGCGCCGCCGCCGACGCCGTCGCCTCGGACAGCAGCAGGTACACGCACGGCGCCATCCCGCCGCCGCCGCCCGCGAGGTCGACAGAAGCGAGCACCTGCGGGGGGGGGAACGGAGGAGCAGCGAACGCGAGGAAGAGGGAAAGGAACAGCGCGAGGAGGAGGAATGCAGAACGAGAGCATGATGGAGGAGATGATCGCGCGCGGCGGGGAGAATGGAGGTGGCGCCCCCTTTTATGCCGCCAGGCTGATGCCGTATCCGATCGCGCCTCGCCCTCCTCTCCTGGGGCAATTGCGCCTCTCCCCCCCGCCCCCCTCCCTGGCTGGAGTGCTTCGGCAGGCCCGCGAAAACAGTTTCGGGCCCCACCTCAGCAATGGTGGGAATCTCTCGCGGGCTGTCTCGAGGCCCTGGGATCGGCTGATTTCCTGGATCCAAAGGTCCTTCACCAGGATGCTAAAGAACATCAAACAAGCACGAAAAACACTAGGTAGAGCCTCTACCTAGAAGCCTCCTAAATGGGGTCTGCATAACGGGGTCGGAGGATCTCGCCGCAACGGTGATGCATCGGCCATGCACTGGCGACGTCGGCAATGCATCGGCGACGTCGGCGTGGAGAATATTGGGCCCCACATCGAGCCACATCGCAGCAGGAATCCTTTGCGGGATTCTACAGAAAGCCTCACAGCAGGAATCCTCACCACAGAAGGAGAGGAGGAGAGAGAGAGAGAGAAGAGAGTGGGAGAGAGAGAGAGAGAGAGAAAACAAACAAACTGTGAGAGAGAGAGAAAGAGAAAGAGAGGGAGGGGGAGAGAGAGAGAGAGAGAGAACAAAAAAACAAAAAAAACATCGGTGGGGAGGGTGGCATTGAAAAAACATGGTGTTTTCCAGATGCTCCAAATATTCCAGGTATTTCCAGAGACTACCCAGGTGAAACACAATGTGTGTTTCCAGATTTTCCAGATATCCCAAATATTCCCAGAGACTACCCAGGGAATGTGTGTTTCCAGATTTTCCACATGTTCCAGATATGCCCAGAGATTACCCAGGTGAAAAACAATGTGTTCTCCAGATTGTCCAGATATTCCAAGTCTTCCCAGAGACTACCAAGGTGAAAAACCATGTGTTTTCCAGATTTTCCGGGGGGAGCTCCCACCTTTGCGCCTTCGCCAGCGCCGTCGGGTAGCAACGACGACGACGACGACGACGACGACGACGACGACGACGACGACGACGACGCCCACGCCCACACCCACGACCACGACCACGACCACGGCCACGGCCACGACGACCACGACGGCCCTCCCCCAGCTCAGACCCCCCCCTGCCCCTTGCACTGGGGGGGGGCACTCGGTTCGACCCCCCCTTGGATGGCCCCCCTCCCGTTTAGGGAGATCGTTGTCCAACGGGGCGGCCCCCTGTTTCGCCAGGGATGCTCCGTCTGTTGGGGGGAGGGCACCGGTTCCAACGTGTCAACATGTTTCTGTTCGGGCAAACGTCCACGAAACGCGTTCTCTCACAGCTCCCGGCCAGGTCCCCCTGGGACCAAGATCGGCACATACAGCCTCCAACCTCATCGCTCGGCCAAGGAGAGCGTATACGCACCGATCCCTGGTCCCGGGGTGGGCCTGGCCAGGATCGGCGCACGTGCATACAGCTCTCGTCGCTCGACCTGGGTCCCCCAAGATGGCGATGACCGTGGGCCTTGCCTGCAGGCGCCGATGTGGCATCACGAAGGAGAACACGTCGCCGTGCTCTCCGCCGCCGCACCTGCTGGAGAGGGAGGAGCCGACCGACACCACCAAGCCTCCACCAAGAGCCCACTCTGGGCCCAGATCCTGGCGGATCTGGGCTGGGAGCCGGTCATCCAGAAAGCACTGACCCGCGTTGGGGCCTGTGGATGACTGGTGGTGGTTGGTGTTTCTCCTCTCCCTGTCTCGGCCGCCGCACCTGTAGAAGTACCGGACGCCAGGCTGCAGGCCCCCCTGCGGATCGGAATATACCGAAAACCCTTCGGGCAGCATCACATGAGCCCCCGAAGCCGCAGAACACCTCCGAAACACTCCTCCACATCCCTGCTTCCCTCCTCCAACTCGGGGGAGGATGGGGAGAAGCAAAGAGGGAGAAAGAGAAGGTGGGAACCCACATTGACTGTAGTCAAACCCTGTTGTACAGGATGCACCCACCCACCCCGGGACCTCCAAATCACTGTTGGGCATGTGGCAGTGGAGGGGGCGTGAATGGACAAAGAAAGTCGAACTCCAAAATCACCAGCCAAACTGAAATCAAGATTGATTTGGAGTGGCCAGCGGGTGATCAATATTCGATCAAGTGTGGAAGGGTTCGACTAATTGTCCATCTACCTGGAGGAGGAGGAGGAGGAGGAGGAGGAGGAGGAGGAGGTGGAGAAGGAGGGTCTGGAGGTTTCGCGTTCATGCTGCAGCCCCCCTAACAGAACAGGAAAGTCACCACCAGGAGCGCAAAAATCGCTGCTGGGCCCCATTACAGGGGATAGAGACCACCACCACCAGTGGAGCATAAAATTCGTTGCTGGGCGTTTGCGGGGTGCATATTTTCAAGATTCCCAACGACAGCGCCTCGGAAAAGAAATACAACCGCCGCCTCCCAGTCCTGACTATGCCGCCCCTGCAGGTAGTGGTGGCGTCCAGAATTTACGGTAGAAGGGGGCTCTCGTTTGGGGCCGAACACCCCGCTGTACGAGATCAGCCTCCCTCTATTGGCTGGCTCACATGGACACGCTGACGGAAGGGCCAGGGCATGGACTTTTTGTTCCTTCTGCGTCCATTCCAGCCACCGTCCCCAGTGTAGGCGGCCCCACAAGATGTGCAACAAGCCGTCGCGCCATGAGTGCCCCAACTCTCTGAAATCCGAAGCCCCTCTTGCTCCTCCTGCTGCGGCTCAGGAACGGACCCCCTGCAACCACCAAAGTCTCGGCAACGGCCCCCCGCCCGGCCTCAGACCGTTGCTGCTGGCGGTGGCGATCAACCTGGTGATGATGTTGGGACTCGGAGCGTGGACATGGCCGTCGAGCCCCCCGACTTAACTCCACCAGGTTGGCGGCGCAGCTCCGCGCGTGGTGCCAAGAGCGTCACCTCCCGCAGCCTCTTTGGGAAACCACTCACGGAACCCCACGCAATCCGTCACAACAAGATGGGCCGGGCAGAAGAGCAACGAACTGGCGACGCCTACGAGGGCACGGGCAGAGGAGTCGGGTCGCCTGGTCGCTGGGTCGCCGGGTCGCCAGGTTGCTGGGTTGCCGCCGGACCTTGCGGAAGTCTCTCTGGAAACTGTCGAGAGGTGGAAGCTCAACAGGAGGAGGAGGAGGAGGAGGAGGAGGAGGAAGAAGAAGAAGAAGAAGGAGAGTAGGAGTAGGAGGAGGAGGAGGAGGAGGAGGAGTAGGAGGAGGAGGAGGAGGAGGAGGAGGAGGAGAAGGAGGAGGAGGAGGAGGAGGAGAAGGATGAGGAGGAGGAGGAGGTGATTTCCGACGACGACGACGACGACGAGAACGACGCCGACGACGACGGCAGCAGCGGCGGCAAGTGGCCAGATGCCGCCTCCGACTCCCCGAGGACGGCGCGGTGCAGATGCCCCGAGGTGTACGGGCCGCCGCACGACGGCTCCTGGCACGAGTAGATCTGGGCTGACCCCTTCGCCACGCGGGCAAGCGCACCTGGGAAGGACGGGCAATGGAAGCCCCTCCTCCCCCTTGTCCTCATCCCCCTCCTCCTCCCCCTCCTCCCTGCCACTCCCCTTCCCCCCCCTCCTCCCTCTGGAGGAGGAGGAGGAGGAGGAGGAGGAGGAGGAGGAGGAGCAATAGGAGGAGAACGACGACGACGAGCCTTCTGGTTGGGAGTTCGGCTCGAGCAATGCGTGGGCCACAGCCCTCTGCGGGACGCCTTGCCCCCCAGGGCTGCCGCCACAGAGGAGCGCACCGCCGGGAGAAGTCCACGCCCACAGCCGGTGGAGCCCTGCTCCGGGTCTCTGGGGAGCGGTGGGTGTGGATGAGTTCCCGCCAGCCTCGACGGGAAGATATCCGTATTCGCTCGCGGGTGGGAACTTGGATACACCGTATCCGCATCCACCTTGATGGCCACGGCGGGCTCGGGGTCATGGGACAGGACTCCGGGACGGCGGGTGCGGATATGGATATGGAGATGTCGGAGGTTCAGGGTGAAGACAAAGTGATCCCCCACCGGGAAATCGTTTGGGATTCGGTTCGTCTTGCGAGTGCGGGCAAGGCGAAGCTGCGCGAGGGCCCCAACATGCATTCTGGGCCCCGACATGAAGCGATACATTACCACGCAATGCGATTCCCGTATGGCGCGCTCGCCACACGGGTGAGCCTGTGGTGGGCAGCATTTGGGGGGCGGCCTACGGGGGGGAAATGGGGAGCAGCCTTTGGGGGGGCAGCCGACGGGGGGAAGGCTATGGGGAGGCAGCCTGTGCGCAGCAGCCTATGTTGGGGCAGCCTGTGGGAGGGGAGGGGGGGGGGGGGGGCAGCCTTCGGGGTGGCAGCCAGGGGGTAGCCTATGAGGGGGCAGCCCGCAGCATTCGGGGAGCAGCTTTGGGGGGCAGCCCGTGGGGGGGAAGCTACGGCGGGCGGCCTGGGGGAGGGGAGGGGGGGGGGGAGGATGTGTGAAGCAGCCGAGGGGGGCAGCCCGCGGGAGCAGCCCATGAGAGGGGGGCGGCCCATCGAGGGGGATGCCCATGGTGGGCAGACTGCGGGGGAGGCAGCCTGTGCGGAACAGCCTGTAGGGAGCAGAGCCCGTGTGGGGGGGGGAGTCTATGGGGGGCAACGTATTGGGGCAACCTATGGGCAGCAGCCCATTGGGGGCAGCCTGTGGTAGGCCGTCAACGGGGAGCAGGCTATGGGGGAGCAGCGTGTGGGGGCAGCCTATGGGGGGCAGTATTTGGGGGGGAGGCGGCCGATAAGGGGGGAGGCAGCCTATGGGGGGCAGCCTACGAGGTGCAGCCTTTGAATGGGCAGCCCGTGGGGGAGGGGGGGCAGCCCATGGAAGGCAATTGAAAGGGACCAGCGTATTGGAGGCAGCAAACGTGGGGCAACCTCTGGGGGATCAGCCTATAGAGGTAGCCAAGATCCCTTCGGGTTCCGTCGAATTCCTCTGGACCCCTGACGCAACGCAGAGGGGTGGGTGGGCCCACTTCTCATCATGGGTGCCTGGGGGAGGGAGCCTGGAGGGATGAAAGGTTGGAAATTCCATTGGCAACCGACTCCAGAATACCGTGCACACAAGATCGGACGAACCTGGGCTAAATTTGAGGCCTGGGAAGGGGCCCAACATCAACACAGGGGGTTGCCTCCACAGGGTGAAGATGATCCTAGATCCCGGTGTTGGTGGTAATATTTCGATCACCTTGGAAGCCAGAATATTGCGGTCATCACCGAGATCGGGATATACCCTCGGTGGAGGCACACCGCCGATATTCTCAAGGGAAGAAAAAACACGCGGACCCGACACTTGGCGTTTACTAAACGGCCATGGGCGTTTACTAAACAGCCCCGCCCTGCTTGATTCCTTCTTTGGGTGCGTTTACGAAACGGCCTCGCGTGTCGGGGTGGTTATTCTCGGGGTGGACTCTGCCCTCGAGATGTTGGCGTTGGTATCAACCTCCGGGCCTGCGGAAATTACCTGAGCGCCCCCGCCCTCTGCCTTCTGGCTCGGCCAGCGTGCCTGGCCCAGCCGTGGCGCTGAGCCCAGGGCTCCAGGCGGCGGAGCCCCTGTGGCTGCACGTGCCGTGCAGACACTGCTGCTGGCCGAAGCGATAGCCGAGGACAACTCGGCGGCGAGCGAGGGGGGGAAGTGAGAAAGCGAAGGCCTTCTCAAAGGTTCGGAAACTCCCGGGCCCGAGCCTTCCCGGAAGACAGAAGAAACTGATCAGAAGGCGCGAGGGCTTCTCAGAAGTCCCGCCGCCTTCTGAGAAGGCCTTCCCCTTCTCATTTCCCCCGCTCGCTCGCCGCAGAACATCGGTCGGAAGAAGTGGGTACAACCATGAAGTAGGAAGGCGTTGGAAGTAGATTGGGTTTCCGCCCGCCTCCTGTAGAGGAGGGAAGAGGGAAAACCACTCGACACTTGAAGTAGGAAGGCGGCTAAAGTAGATTGGGCACTAAGAACCCCAAATACCTACTTTCAACGACCGATGGATACGCTCGCCCTGGAAGCCCTGCCGAAAGAAAGGCACACGTTTCAGAACGTGGCACAAGGAACTCTGGCTTGCGGTTCCGTGTGCACGATTATTTGGACGTGTGGTTACGGAGAGGAACTGATATGCAGCGTCGTACTGTTCCTGGTCTTTAGACGAGAGTTCGAGTCGGGGCCCGGGGACCCCACCCAGAGGAGGATAATGAGATGGAGAAGGGAGTGCAACTCAGGGCCTCATACTACCTTCAGGCTAACCTCTTTGTCGTTTCGCAATGATGGAAGAGAGTCTGAACGGATTCCTGCGCACCAGCTGCGCGCTAATTCTCGAGCACCGATGCCTTGTGCGATTTGTCCTTCCCGCTTGCTTCCCGCTTGCCGACTGTATACGTGCCATGGTCACTCTTCTTTTCTCGTTCCACTTCTTCTCGGCCACAGCGCGTGCAAGGCTGGAAGCCCCTCTCGGGTTGACCGGCCATGGCTGGCGTCCCGAGCGATGGCCCCGCACGTCCGTCCGCTGAGCTTCGCCGCACGAGTCTGCACAACGGCCGCGGTCGGTGCTCTACCACACAGCAGCGCGATGACGCTCGGCGGAGCTCTGCGAATCTCTGGGGCATCAAGGAGCGCGGGCACCTGCGAGGCCGTGTCCGCTGCCACCCGCTTTCTCGGGGCCCGACAAGACGTGTGAGATATTCGGATGCCCCCCCCTGTGCCATCTCCCCGGCGATCTACATAGCCATCGGAGGGAGGGGATAGGGGGTCCATCCTGGGCGCATCATCCACCAGGCGGCGCACCCGCGGACTCGTCCACGGATGGTGCCAAGTTGATCCCCTCCGCCTCACTCGCTCAGCGTCACCCTCCCGACCGGGGCACGAACCCCAAAGAAGCCCGTGGAGGCCCCAGAAAAGCAGCACTCGTTGCAAGATGAACGTAGTATGTGATTTCGACATACTCGAATCCCACCAGCCCTCTGGGCGCAGGTGGTCTAGAGCGTTTCCTTTTCCAACCTCCTTCCTTTCCCTGCTCAGGAGGTTTACCTCCCCCCCCCTCCCTGCGTAGGACGGGCTCCCCCGCGAGGTGTCAGAGGGCCCTTTTCGGCCCAAGATGGCTCCAAGAGGGCTTCAGAGAGTGCGAGATGGCCTCCAAGATGGCCCAAGACAGCGGTAGATGGCTCAAGATAGCCTCCGACACGCATCCAAGAGGCCTCAAGACGGCCCCAAGACGGTTTCAAGTGCCCTCCGAGCCCTCCGAGGACTCCCCCAAGAGGTCAAATTCCTTCAAAAACCTAAAAAAAACAATGTTGTTTGCCTTCTCGCTTTTTCGCCTCCAATGGGCTCTTGAGGCCTCAAGATGGCCCCAAGACGGCCCAAGATAGTCCCACGAGGGGCCCAAGAGAGCCCCAAGACGGCCCCAAGAGCGCCCAGGAGCGCTCCAAGAGCAGCCCAAGAGAGCCCCAAGACGGCATTTTTGAGCCTCCGAAGGGGGGACAGAAATTAAGGACCCCCTTCTTTTTTAGCGAAAGCGCCCAAGACGGCACCAAGAGGCCCCTCAGGCATCCCACAAGAGCCCCAAGAGAGCTCCAAGACCCCCCAAAAGAGCCCCAAGAGGGCCCCAAGACGCCCCAAAAGAGCCCCAAGAGGGCTCCAAGAAGGCCCTTAGAGGACCTCAAGAGAGCCCCAAGAAAGAGCTCCAGGAGGGCCCCGAGAGGGTCCCAAGAGAACCCCAAGAGAGCCCCAAGATGGCTCCAAGTTTCGAAATGCACGCGAGCTTAAGATACAAAGCAGTGCAACAGCCATTACGAGTCATCGAAACACCCCTCACCCCTCATCGAAGCACCATCGTAGTTTGCACTGGTTTCAATCTTGAACTTCAATGCGGGAAGCTATTTGTGATCCTTGTTTTCCCGAAGACGGCTGCGCGACTGCATGCGTCCTGCCGCCCCTGATTCACCAATTCCCCTGCTGATCGTATCTGGAGGGGCTGGTAGGAATATATTTTTTTGGTCGCGGCTCCAAGGAAAAGCCCAGGGAGCGGTCACAACGTCCGGGGCGCAGTACATTGTAAATTTGCGGCTGGTGGGAATAAGCGAAGCGTCAAGAATTTCGATACGCCGGATGGGCCTCAGAAGCGTCAAAACAGCCCCTAGATGGTCAACGACGGTTCTGGAAAGCTACCAGACCCCCCAAGGAACCCCCCGAGGGTCCCGAAGCCCCGAAGAGCCCAAGAGGGCCCCAAGAGAGGACCAGGAGGGTTCCATGGACCAAAGTAGCACCAAGACGGGCCCAAAAATGTCCAGTAGCAAGGTGCCCCATACTGCTCAGGCACACGCATGCTGTTAGCGGGATCAGACTGTGGGCTGGACCTCATGCACAACTACCAGATGTTTCAACAGGCAGTCGTAACGAACGGCGCGGATCGATGGGCAGGATCGTATGCGTCCTCTGATGCATACAATATCCTCCTGCTCCCTCTCCTCCCCTTTCTCCTCCTTTTCCTCCTCCTCGTCCTCGTCCTCGTCCTCCTCCTACTCCTCCTCCACCTCCTCATCCTCCTCGTGCTCCTCCGTCTAATCTCCACCTCTTCCTCCTCTTCTCTCTCTCCGCGTTATATCGCCTTGCTGTCTTGTCCTTCGCCTCCTCGTCCTCCATGTCGTCCAGAGCAACCCAAACAGAGCATCGTCGCGCTTAAACCTTGGTGGTCGGCGGAATACACTGAGCCTGCAGGACAAAGACTGAGCGGGTCTTCGCGCGAGACTCGCTGTTCGAGTGTGACTCGCAGTGGTGCTAGGCACCACGATGCGACACAACAGCGAAGCAGAAAGAATGTACTGCGCCCCCGAGTTGCCGGGTGGCTCTGAGAAGGGCTGGGGACGCGGGGCCGCTTCCTTGAGCGACGCGCAGTGCCCAAGCCTGGATGAGCAGGCGACGCTTACGTGGTCACCTGATTCGCGTGGGACAAGGAAGTTGAAAATTGACTCCAGCTAAATCCTGAGTCGAAGACTTCGCTGGGCAGACCAGGCTGAGAGCAAGACAATGTATATCGTTGAAATATAACATTCAGGGCAAACCCCCTGCTTGAAAATTCGGACAGGACGGACCCCTGCCAGAAAATCTGCCTCCTGCCAACTTGCTGCCGCGTTTAAAAAGCATGCATGAGACGAGTCGAGCACATCGGAACTGGATCACGAAATCCGGCCGCCGCATGCTTGCACCGAGGCGAGCACGGGCGGCGTAGTGCTGAAACATGGATCGAGAGCATGACGAGAAAGAGCGCGAGAAGGAGATGGGGCAAGGAGAAGGAAGATCCATGAGGAGGAAGAGGAGGAGAAGGAGGAGGAGGAGGAGGAGAAGGAGGAAGAGCAGGAGGAGGAGGAGGAGGAGGAGGAGGAGGAGGGAGGGGAGAATCCACATGCCTCCAGGCTCTACGAGAGCCCCTGGGCCCGCAGCGAACTCCGCCTCATGCCTGGCACACCCGTGACCCGGGCAGTGACTCGCTAATCTCCGAAGTGCCGAAGGCCTAGCGCCTTGCACCCGAGAGCCCCGTCCCGAAGATACCAACGTGGAAGACCCGCCGCAGGATCGTCTCCGCCAGGGGCAAGCAGCTCTTGCTGGGGCTGTCCTCGTCGAGGACCTGCTCCCCGATGTCGCCCGAACGGCCGCTGGAGCTGCTGGAGCTGGTGGACTGCCGCTCGAAGCACCCAGCGAAGCCGTCGAGGCTGACGGAGTTCATGTCGAAGGGCGCCAGGGTGCTCATGCTGTTCACATGAGCGGATCGCATCCTGGCGTACATCTGCCGCCCCTCCTGTTTGGACGACCGAAATGGGTACAGAAAACATGGGCACGATGCCCAACAGCAAATGTTGTCTAAACCCACAGCGGCCGCTGTTGGGCAGGCAGCCTTCTGTGTAAAATGGGCAACGTCCGCGGCGACACCGACAGCGAGTCCTGTTCAAAACGAACAGGAACTGCTGTCGGTCGTCGTACCCATCCCTTCGGTACTCACTTCGATCGTACCAATCCTTCGACATCGACCTCGGAATCAGCGTGAGGCGGGTCGTCGAGAAGCAGACGTCCACCACGGCGTAGTACTGGGCATCCTCCGCCAGCGGCCTCCCGGTGTCAAAGTCCATCACCACGGTGTCGTTGACGAAGAACTGAAGGCGCCCGTCCCACGTGTACCTTGAGGGGTAACGACAGGAGGGGGGGGGGACTGGCACAGGGGGGCAAACCTCGACCTGGAAGCAGCGACACATCGCCGATAGCTCGGGGACGGGCCCCCGAACCCGAGGCCCGCACGCTCATGGGCCGGGTGGGGCTGCCAGGCCCCCGTCGGGGCGGTCCGTGGGCCATTGGGGGTCGAGGCGTCCCGCCCTGGGCGGTGTCCCCCCCCCTCTGCCGCTGCCCCTGCCTGCCTGCACTCGATCTCGTCGCCCACGCGGGCCACCGCCGGCGGCTCGCGCTTGTGAGCGGGCACGTCGGGCTGCAGCAGCCAGGACTCGACCTCGGCGGCGGGGGGCGGCCCGAACCCCATGACGTAGTGCGTGCTCGCGTCGCGGGCGAAGGCCTCGCCGCTCCCGCCGACGACGACGCTCTCCGCGAGGCACTTCGAGAGCCGGGGCAGGTCTCCGGCCTCGCCGGGCCTCCGCGTCGTGAACCCGACGAAGGGCAGCCCTGAGAGGAGGGCGCCAGCGACACACACAGCGACACACACACACACACACGCGCGCACCCACACACACACACACACACACACACACACGCACGCGCGCACACACACACACGCGCGCATATCTATATATATATATATATAAATATACACACGCCCACCTGGCTCGGCCAGGAAGGCAAAGATGCACCGATCCTGGGCCCAAGATCGGCCTGGCCGAGATCGGTGTGAGAAATGCACGGGTTGGGAACACCAAAGGGTGCCGATACCGCTACTCCCCGGATCTCTCCCAGGGCGCGTTCCGGCGCCGAAGTTCGAGGCGAATGCCGCCGTGGCGACGAGGGCCCCCGAGGAAGCCCAGAAAGGGCCAGCAAGAGGCAAGAGCAGTGGTACCGGTACCTTTTCCTCCTCTGACGGCTGGCGCCCTCTGGCCTGAGAACTTGCTCGTCGTGGACTCGACGCGCACCCGGAAGGCGAGGCCCTCTGGCGTCCTCTGCGCGGGCCTGTCTCCGAGCATCAGGCACCCCGTGGGCAGCTCGTCGCACTCCCTGCGGGCCGCGGTCCGCCCGCTGTTGGCGACGATGGCCTGCCCCTCGAGCCTCCTCGTGTAGAAGCCGAAGTCCGGCTGCACGAGGTCCTCGGGGCAGGGAGCGGCCGTCCCTGTGCTCCTGTATAGGCCCACGGCCAGGAACGTTTGGATAGCGTGTTGCTCCGCTGGTTCTGGTCCACCACGCTTCGGCACGACACGCGATCCACGTCCCCATTTCCGAGCGCCAATGTCCCGAGCCTTTCCGAGCCTCCCGCCCAGCGGAGCGGAGCGACACGCTATCCGCTTGCAGGGCATAGCGTGTCACCGGGGCCGCCGCTGCGACACGCCAAGCAGAAGTTCCAGACCGTGTATTGCGACCAGATCATAAGGATGCAAGGCCCTTGAACGCCCAGATGAAAGCCGAAGGTGGAAGCCCATGTCCAATGGCTGATGAGGATGGGCTGAGAGGCAAGGATGCAAGGTCACCCTTGGATAATTACTCGTCCTTCTGATCTTGATTGACAGCACCACGGCATGGTTTCAGAACGAAAGAACGCTCTGGAAACGAAAACCATGTTCTTAGCACAAGGCCGATGTCTTAAAACAAAACTGTTTCGGCCAGAAATGCTGAGAATATGCTGCACCGGCAACAGGAAGATTCTCACAACAATTCTTGGTGAGCCTACAGGCAAGCCAGGCCGCCTCGCCACCGCTCGAGTCCTTGAGGTCGACTATCCTCCCCTCGTCGCACCAGTTTGGGCTGCGCAGCGTGCTCAAGCGCACCCTGGCCGCCTCAAGGACGCCCCGAGCCCGCCCCTCCAGCTCCGCGTGAGCGGCCCGCCCAAGGCGCTGCGGGCAGCCCTCCGCGCAGGCGATGACGGAGCCGACGATGTACTTGCGGAGCCCCGCACACGAGGGTACCACGCAGAGCCCGAGGAGGGTGAAGCCCGTGAAGACGGAGCCGTCCTTCCTGGCCTGGCGGAGCAGACGGCGGCATAGTAAGCGCTGTCGAAGGTCCGCGCAGATCTCCTGGATTGGCGCTGGACTGCCTGGCGCGCTCCGCGCGCCAGGGGCGGCGCCGCAGGCGCCGCTGGGGGGGCCCAGCGCAGATCCCAGAGACCCGAACGGAGCTCCGAAAACGCGTCCGCATGCCGTTCTCCCCCCTTCGATGGCCTGAGGCTGCACCACGACGGCCTCCGCGATCCCCGCGAGGTCGGGGTTCGCGCACTCCGCGCAGAAGCTCTCCTGGTTCGCCCTGGAGGAGCGGGACAGCCACGCGGCGGGCACGCCCTCGGACAGGCCGCCCAGGCCGCTGCCCAGGAGCTCCCCCAGGGCGCGCCCCGTGGTGGAGCAGAAGCCGGCGCTGGCCCCCACGATGGGGCAGCCCGTGAGCGCGGGGTCCAGGATGAGCACGGGGTCCTGCATGTCGGCCACGAGCCTGCCTGCGAGGCGATGGGACCTTGCGGTGCCATCGGCCTCCGCGGGGCACGGCATCATCTGGGAGACGCCGAGCAGCAGCGTGCGCTCTTCGCGCGCGCCAATCGCCGGCGCCGCTTCAGCGCGGGTGCGGCGCGGAGGAGTATCACCCCCGGGGCCGTCCACGCTGAAGCGCCTTCACAGCTGAATGGACCACCTGATCCAAAGCAGCTACGATGGCGGATGATGAGGAGGAGCCTGGATTCAGGGTCGAGACCGCTGGACTTTTCAACCAGTCTGCCTTGCCGCGCAATTTTCCACCAGGGTGGAGCCGACTCGGTGTCCAGGCACGGGGAGCCTAGGCCTTGACTCGGCATTGTTGTAAAGACATCTGGATCAGTTCCGGTGCTCCCAGCGCTTTCAGCTCGGCTCACCCTGAAGGTGGGAGCCCCTGCGCACCTCTTCTAGATCGGCATCGCTGTGCGCAGATGTCCTCGAATACTTGAGGTGGCGGGGTCGACCTCGGAGGTGATAGCGATAGATAACTCCTCCATGTCGCGCCCGCCACCAGACGAGTCGTTAGGGTGGGACGGACGTTTCATTCGAGAGTTCCTCACCGCTTATGCTCCTGAAGCTTGACATAACAGCCTTTCAAAATGGTGCTCTCGCCTTGGTGCCGCTCACAAATGTTTGGAAGAAAATAGCATGAGTTTGATTGGAGCTCTCGCCTTGGCGCCGCGCACACTCGTCTGAAATACCTCAAAATACACAGATCTAGAGCGGCCCCTTCTGAAAATGGCGCGCTCGAATCGGCGCCGTGCACGCTCGCCCTGAAAAACTGGTCCTTCACTGCACGGAGGGCAGCACCGCCTCAGGACGGGGCCCTCGCCGCGGCGCCGCGCCCGCGCATCCCGAAGACGTCCAGCGGCTGCACGGACGCAGGGCGGTGCCCCGTCGAGACGGAGCCCTCGCGCCTCTGCACCGCGACCGCCCCCGACAGCGGCCAGCACGCAGCTGCCCGGTCAGAGGGCGAACCCCCTCTCGACGTGGGGCTCCCGCTGCAAGCTCTTCCGCTGGTTTCGTGGCCCGAGCTCTGCAAACAGCGTGCAGCGATGAGTCCTCCCTCCTCCTCCCTCCTCCTCCTCCTCCTCCGCCTCCTCCTCCTCCTCCTCCTCCTCCTCCTCCTCCTCCTCCTCCTCCTCCTCCTCCTCCTCCCCCTTCACCTTCACCTTCATCCCTTCTCCTTATACATAACTCCTCCCTGTCGCACCCCGGGGCCAGTCGAGAGGGCGGCCAGGCGTTTCCCCTGAGGCGTTTCGCCTGGAAGTTTGCAAGAGCTTCACGGATGGAGGGCGGGCGGTTTTCCAAATGTGGTTCTGGCGCCGCGCACGTGCGTTTTTGAAAATTTGCAGGGGTTCCACGGATGGCGGGCGGGCGGCTTTCAAAATTCTGCTCTCGCCTTAGCGCCGCGCGCAGTCATTTTAAAAGTGTGCGGCAGCCTCACGGATGGAGGGCGGGCTGTTTTCAAAATGTGGCTCTCGCCTTGACGCCGCGCACGTTCGTCTTAGAATGCTGTAAGAGCTTCACGGATGGAGGGTGGCTCCTTTTTCAATGTGGCCCTCGCCTTCGCGCAGACTTGTCCTTACAGTATACAAGAGATCCACAGATGGAGGGCGGTTCCTTTTCAAAATATGGCTCTCTCCTTCTCGTCGCGCAAATTTGCTCTACCTGCTAAATGCAGTCTTGAAAATCTTATGGCTGACGCCCCGGTAATAATGTGTTGGAGCGATTTAGAATAGTCTGGGCGCGGCAGTCACGTTGATTCGCGGTGTTCACGTCTCAGAGATAGTGTTCTGGCACGATTCAAGATCGTCAGGTGGCAACAGTACCATTGATTCGCGGCGCTGAAGTCCCAGGAATGGTACTTTGGCACGGTTGTAGATTTTCAGACGGTTGTCTTCCAACGGGGCTTTTCCCACAGTGAAACTAGATCCTTCTAGGAGCCTATGAAGAGGGAACTTGGAGGGAGGGTTCATTGCAACATCGTTGATCGGTCTTGGGTTTACACTGGTCCTCCTCCTCCTCCTCCTCGATCCTCGATCCTCCTCGTCCTCATCTCCCCCTCTCCTCATCCTCCTCTCCCGAACGTCGCACGGATGCGGTCAGCAGCGCCTGCACTTCTGGAGGGCAGGTCCTATTGAGAGCAGGCCTCTCGCT